CCCTACATTTTAACTCAATTTTCAGGTTTGCCTGATTTGATTTATGTGGTAGGTAAAAAGAGAGTCTTAGCAGAAAGGAAAAAAAAAAAAAAAAGCATCTTATAGTTGTCAAATGAGTACATGAAAATTAGGCTTTGGTTAGTAGCAGGACATTGTCCTGGTTTCAGCTGGGACAGAGGTAGTTTTCTTTTTAGTAGGTAGAATAGTTCTGTGTTTTGGATTTAGTATGGGATTTGTTCTGAGAAGAATGTTGATTAACACACTGATGTTTATAGCTGGTGCTGAGACATCAAGAACTTTTTCGTTTCCCATGTTTTGGCAGCGTGCAGGAGCACAACAAGGTAGGGAGGACCATAGAGGGGACAAAGGACCCACAACTTCTACCTTATGATTTGAACTTAAACTATGATTGAGGACCAAATTGGCCAATGGAATATTTCATATCATGCAACGTCGTGCCCAGTATATAGATGAGGATTGACTGGGAAGTGTGATCTCTCCCTCTGTCGGACTCTTGGAGTTTTGTTTTTCTCACTCTCTTTTTGGGCCTCTTTCTCTCCTCCAGGATTGTGATTTTAGGATTTATCTGTTTTGAGATCATTTGCTGAGATGGGACAGTCATTGGTCACCAGGTGGTGAGCAATTGCACTGTGCATCACTTGTTTGTATATATTATTATAATTTCATATATTATCATATATTATCATCATTATTACTTTTAATTTTATTAAATTTTAATTATTGTTCTTATCTCAACCCACAATTCTCCTTCTCTTTTCCTCGTTAATTCTCTTCCCCATTCCCTGGTGACATCACAGAACCTAAAGTTGTTTGGAAGTCACCCAAATTGCTGCTTCTCTTATATGATTTATTATAAAAATATTTTAAATTTCTTCTTTTTTTTGATTGTCTTTGATAGGTGCCTATTCTGAGCATCACACAAATTTGAAAAGAAAGCCCTCATTATGTTTATTTAAAGGTCAGCATCCGGATGTAATGAATTCTTCTTCATGCCATTGACGATGACTAGTCTCTCTAATCCTGTCTCAGGAGATGAGATTTTGCCAGACTACTCCAATTTCTAGCAGTTTGGTTATGAGATCGTTTACACTGAGTTTGTAAACTATATTTACAGTGGAAAAGCTTACCATCAAAAAATTCTGATGCCTCTAATGTTTCCAGCTCAGTTGTTCATTTTGTTTTGGTTCACACTATTTAAACCAACAAATAATCCCTCAACCAAAATTATATGCCTTCTTGGAACGCCACGTACTTCAACTGGTTTTAACAACCAGACAAAATTTTGGCAGTTCTCAGGCACTGATGACAGATTTATGCTGCATGATCTATTGGTGCATTTTCCAACAATATCATAGGGAAACAATTCTAGCCTTAAAACCCTTAAATTACAGAACATGTTTTGCCATGTTGAATATGCTTTCCATTTTGAAAACATTGTAAGTCTGACTCTTGGAGTGTCTCTTTAGAGTATTCCTAACTACCACACTTTGCTGGTAACCCTTCTCTCAGCCTTTCAGTGGCCTTTTTTCTTCTTACTCCAGTTTTAACTACAAATTATTATAACTCCTTAGGGTAATAACTTAGTGATACATGAAATGTTCCAATTTTGATGCTTAGTAATACAAGAAAAAAGATTGTGAAGTCCTTTAAGATAAATTCATAATCAGTTAATTTAGAAAATTGAAAACAACGGTGGGATTGGGATTTAATTTTCATTGTTATAAAGTGTCACAGCTAGACTTTGTCTTGGAAATATAAATGGTGCTCAAAACTCTCTCTTAAATGAAATTTCAGAAAGATGATTCTTTACAGGTGAAGGTATGATGAAGGTATATGTGACAGTTGTCTGAAATGGTAAAACGATTCTACTACACATACAAAAAGAGTAAAATTAAAAAAGGGAGTTTTTAAAACCTGTTTTATTTTGGTATTGCATGGCTTTCATCATGGTAGAGGCAAATTTGAGATGAGATGGGTTAACAATTGTGTTCAACAGAAACTGGAGGAAAACTGGGAACTCTTGCTTTATGAGCTCCCAAATCTTTCTGTGGCTGTGGCTCTTTCACACTGTTTCATTTTGCATGTTCTTTCTTGAGGTACCCATTCAGAAGGAC